CCAGTTTCCTGAGAGACGAGACTTTATAATGCCTTTATAACACTCTTCACTTCTGCCAGTTTCCTGAGATGAGACTTTATAACGCGTTTATAACACTCTTTATTCCTGCCAGTTTCCTGAGAGACGAGACTTTATAATGCGTTTATAACACTCTTCACTTCTGCCAGTTTCCTGAGAGACGAGACTTTATAACGCGTTTATAACTGTCTTCATTCCTGCCAGTTTCCTGAGAGACGAGACTTTATAAAGCGTTTATAACTCTCTTCCCTCCTGCCAGTTTCCTGAGAGACGAGACTTTATAACGCGTTTATAACACTCTTCACTTCTGCCAGTTTCCTGAGATGAGACTTTATAACGCGTTTATAACACTCTTCATTCCTGCCAGTTTCCTGAGAGACGAGACTTTATAACGCGTTTATAACACTCTTCACTCCTGCCAGTTTCCTGAGAGACGAGACTTTATAACGCGTTTATAACACTCTTCACTCCTGCCAGTTTCCTGAGAGACGAGACTTTATAACGCGTTTATAACACTTCACTCCTGCCAGTTTCCTGAGAGATGAGACTTTATAACGCGTTTATAACTCTCTTCACTCCTGCCAGTTTCCAGAGAGACGAGACTTTATAACGCGTTTATAACACTTCACTCCTGCCAGTTTCCTGAGAGACGAGACTTTATAACGCGTTTATAACTCTCTTCACTCCTGCCAGTTTCCTGAGAGACGAGACTTTATAACGCGTTTATAACTCTCTTCACTCCTGCCAGTTTCCAGAGAGATGAGACTTTATAACGCGTTTATAACACTCTTCACTCCTGCCAGTTTCCTGAGAGATGAGACTTTATAACGCGTTTATAACTCTCTTCACTCCTGCCAGTTTCCAGAGAGATGAGACTTTATAACACGTTTATAACACTCTTCACTCCTGCCAGTTTCCTGAGAGACGAGACTTTATAACGCGTTTATAACACTTCACTCCTGCCAGTTTCCTGAGAGATGAGACTTTATAACGCGTTTATAACTCTCTTCACTCCTGCCAGTTTCCAGAGAGACGAGACTTTATAACGCGTTTATAACACTCTTCATTCCTGCCAGTTTCCTGAGAGACGAGACTTTATAACGCGTTTATAACTCTCTTCACTCCTGCCAGTTTCCTGAGAGATGAGACTTTATAACGCGTTTATAACACTCTTCACTCCTGCCAGTTTCCTGAGAGACGAGACTTTATAACGCGTTTATAACACTTCACTCCTGCCAGTTTCCTGAGAGATGAGACTTTATAACGCGTTTATAACTCTCTTCACTCCTGCCAGTTTCCAGAGAGACGAGACTTTATAATGCGTTTATAACACTCTTCACTCCTGCCAGTTTCCTGAGAGACGAGACTTTATAATGCGTTTATAACTCTCTTCATTCCTGCCAGTTTCCTGAGAGACGAGACTTTATAACGCGTTTATAACACTTCACTCCTGCCAGTTTCCTGAGAGATGAGACTTTATAACGCGTTTATAACTCTCTTCACTCCTGCCAGTTTCCAGAGAGACGAGACTTTATAACGCGTTTATAACACTCTTCACTCCTGCCAGTTTCCTGAGAGACAAGACTTTATAACGCGTTTATAACTCTCTTCACTCCTGCCAGTTTCCTGAGAGACGAGACTTTATAACGCGTTTATAACACTCTTCACTCCTGCCAGTTTCCTGAGAGACGAGACTTTATAATGCGTTTATAACTCTCTTCATTCCTGCTGGCACTGCATAGGCGTCGTTTGAGGACTGTGCTCTTCACCTGTATGAATAATGGATGTGTGTGTGGACTCTAAACCCACGAGGGCTTGACGGCATCTGATGGCTCTCACACACACACACACACACACTTCCCTCACCTGTTAGAGCAGCTGGATTATGAGATGTGCCTCTGGAGAGATTTAGAACACCGTGTGTGTGTGTGTGTGTGTGTGTGTGTGTGTGTGTGTGTGTGTGTGGATTACTGGGAGTTTGAGGGGTTTGGTCTTTCACAGTCAGAACACAATATACTTCTGCTCTGCTCTATATAATGGCATCTCTGCTTTATCAAAATATGTGTGTGTGTATGCATGTTGTGCGTGTGCGTGAGCGAGTGTGATTGTGTGTGTGTGTGTGTGTGTGTGTGTGAGAGCGAGTGTGATTGTGTGTGTGTGTGTGTGTGTGTGTGTGAGAGCGAGTGTGATTGTTTGTGGACAGTGTGATTGTGTGTTTGTAAGTGAGTGAGTCTGTGTGTGTGTGTGTGTGTCTCTGTGTGTGTGTCTGTGTGCGTGTTTGTGTGTGCGTGTGTGTGTTTGAGTTTTTTTTTAAACAAAATGTACACATCATCATCATCATCCTGTGCAAAAGTTTTCACCCCCTTCTCTTAATGTCATAATAGTGTACGAGTCCCTCAGTGAGCATCTCAAACCATAAAGCCGATCATTTGGAGAGAAACATTTTAAATCAGCAACTTTTGCAAGTGATTGCTCTGTGTGAGTTTGATGCGTCACGTGTGCACGTCTTCCTCCGAGACGCGGTTATAGATGTGTGTAACGGCAGCGCTGGGAGATGTTTAAATTGACATGGAACATGAAAAACACTTTTCTTGTCAACAGCAGAGATGAGCAATTATTAGACGAGCCGCATATTACGCTGTTCTGTGACTCTGGATGATTTAGCGCTCTGATGTATTGACTCTGTCACAGCGTCTTGTTTGCTAATCATCCGGAATTAATATTTCACTGCAGAATATTGTGGGATCAGCGGTAAATAAACCCATACAGAGACTTCGGATTTCACATCAAATATTGCAAACGCCGCAGAAGCTCTCCCACTTGTGCAAGTCAAAGGCTGTAAATGTCATTTGAAAGAAAGATTTATATTTCATAGAGTCGTATGATGAAACCTTCTGCCCGCCCAATCAGATCATAATCACTTTTGCCACAATTATATTTGCCCATCTCTCTTGCATTAAGCTAATTTGTTTCACTTATTGTGGAGAAATAATTTTTAATCGATAATTGCGTCTTATAAAGACTGTGTTTTAGAGTATAAGATTGAAAAGTATTGTTATCATGTCTATAATGCTGGTTGATGAATGACTGAGCGCTGTTAACAATGCTATTAATATATCAGATATTTAATTAGATATACTAATTATATCTAATAAATATATATATACAGGTGAAACTCGAAAAATTTGAATATCGTCCAAAAGTTCATTTATTTCAGTAATTCAACTTAAAACGTGGAACTAATATATTATATAGACTCATTACATGCAAAGTGAGATATTTCAAGCCTTTATTTGTTATAATTGTTTACAGATATGAAAACATTTTCTCAATAATCTAATTTTGAATTTGGGGTTTTCATAAGCTGTAAGCCATAATCATCACAATTGTAACAAATAAAGTCTTGAAATATCTCACTTTGCATGTAATGAGTCTATATAATATATTAGTTTCACCTTTTAAGTTGAATTACTAAAATAAATGAACTTTTGCACCATATTCTAATTTTTTGAGTTTCACCTGTATATATATATATATACTGTATATATTATATTATATTAATATCGGCCACGTTATATAGATTTAGACCCTACTGTATGTTGTGTTTGTTGGACAGGCTGGAAGTTGCTCCTCTACATGATCCTCAGGTTATAAAGCTGCACTCATTTACACACTTTCCTCAAAGTAAAAGTTTTACTTTATTTTATGTACTTGGTGTTTTTGACAGATCTGTGTAGAGGAATGAGACGGAGTCTCCGATCGGTGGCTTATTACACGCTTTTCTGCACAAGGGGAACATGTTTGTTTTGGGCCCAAGGCAAAATAACAAGAAAAAGTAGCAATTTGTTATGCTACAGGAACATGTGTTTAAATGAAGTGTCAGTATATTTCGTATTAACTCTAACATTGCAAGGCAGTTTTACTTTTATAAGGGGTCATAATTTGTGATATTATTCAGCTATAATGTAACTACACACTGGATATATCAGCATAAAACCATAAACACGTCATGTCATCATGCAATTTTTCTACAAAGAGGGCACAGGAAATTAATAAATCATAAACAACTGTTGAGAATGTACATTTAAACCACATTCAATTTTAATGTGCCAAAAATGTATTTATATAGAAATAACAATTACAGGAAACAATGCATCACATCAGTGATATTTATTTATTATTGTATTATTTGTATTATTATTTTGTCTAAAGTTTATATTTTATTATTTCAGCTTTATTTCAAATTATCTTTGATAATTGTGTTCCTGCACAGATTCTCTGTGTTTTTAAGTATAAATCATCCATCAATCATCCATCCATCCATTAATCTGTCCATCCATCCATCAATCATCCATCCATCCATCAATCTGTCCATCCATCCATCAATCTGTCCATCCATCAATCATCCATCCATCCATTAATCTGTCCATCCATCCATCAATCTGTCCATCCATCAATCATCCATCCATCCATCCATCCATCAATCATCCATCCATCCATTAATCTGTCCATCCATCCATCAATCATCCATCCATCCATCAATCTGTCCATCCATCCATCCATCCATCCATCCATCCATCCATCCATCAATCTGTCCATCCATCCATCCATCCATCCATCCATCCATCAATCTGTCCATCCATCCATCCATCCATCCATCCATCCATCAATCTGTCCATCCATCCATCCATCCATCCATCCATCAATCTGTCCATCCATCCATCCATCCATCCATCCATCAATCTGTCCATCCATCCATCCATCAATTGAGGGAATTGATTCTAAAATAATGGTGGCTTGCATATAAAAAATAATCAAGAACATTTTTATTTAAATTTAAAATGCATTGAAACAAGAAATAAAGAAAGACAGCTGATCCACATGTTAAACTGGTCTGTAAAACGAGCATAAAATGATGAACTGATGTGTGTTGGATATCATCATGCACTGAAACTGAGTGTCCTCGTGTGTGTCTCCTGCAGCTCCGTGTGGGAGCCGGTCGACGGGGTCCGAGGGCACGGTCCTGTCCCCGAACTACCCCCGCAACTACACCGAGGGCCAGTCCTGCGTGTACGAGATCTCGGTGCCGGGAGAGTTCGGTAAGACCTCACAGCCAATCACCATCGAGGTTACTGACGGGAGACATGCGGAAATACATGCTCGTTCTCTCCATCTCGGAGAAGCGCTGGTCCTGTAATGGAATAGATAAGCACAGCAGTCACAGATGAACAGCGCATGTGTGTATGCAACAGCGCCAGCAGTGCTTTAGTCCTAAAGGCTTTCTCTAATGTAGATCTCGGTGTGTTTGTCCAGCAGGATCAGCACTTCTGAGCGGGTTGTGCTCGAGTCTCTGGGGGGACTGAGATCATGTTTAAAAGCTCACAGCCTCATATTTTATGCATGTACACATTGTATTTGTTTAGATTTGCTTGTAACAAGCGGCATCGGCTGTGCACAGCGAGAGACCGAGCCGTCCGGGATCAAGCGAAGGAGAATGTTTTAGTGACCTGATGTGAACCGGAGAAACTTCTGCTCTTCAGAACGACGAGGACTGCAGATCTTCAATCCTGCAGATGTGGAGCTAATGCAGCTTTATTATACTGACCAGCCTGTGAAAGCTTACTTTCTATTAACTAAATACGAGATGTAATCGAACAAGACGTGAATCAAAAACTACTGTAGCTAAATAACAGAATCAATGATGCAAACTTCATCAAATATATAATATATAAAAATAATTCAGATCCAGCTGTAAAGCAGCTCTAATAGAGTCATTATTCAGCTCGAGATCTGTTCTCATCCGATAATGTCAGTGCAGTATGATTATTTTCATATTTTATCGAACCTTAAATTTGTTACTAGTTTTCTCTGCAAAAACAATGGGGAGTGTCAGAAAATAAGGAGGATGCAAAAAATGCAAGACAATATGGAGAATTTAATAATTGCAAGAAAATGTGGGGATGCAATAAATGCATACTCGTGTTCTCACGCATTTTGGAAAAATTGCATGCATTTATTATTTTTATAATTACCTGACTTTTGCATACTGTTGCATTTAATGAATGTTTTTGGTTGTTTTGGTCCACATAGCGGAGTCAGATGAAGCTCGTCCCTTCCCTCTCATACGGTACACTTTGGTTAAAACTTCAGATGCACAGAAAACTCTCGTTTTTAATCTGCAAATTATATGTAATGACTTTTGAAGTAGTTTCATATCAGTTTCAAACCTTACATGAACTGTCCGAGTAAACTGTAGTGGGAAAGATGTCCAGACACACATCCTAGCGTTTATTCGAGTCGCCCTTCTTTCATGTCGTTTATCAGTTTCAAACCCTCTTCAGTTTATATTAATAAGTTCGAACTCTACTAAATGGCAAGAGTTTAGGGATGATGCCGTGAGGCGTCTCACTTGATTATGAAAGCGTTCTGATGATTTAACTGTCTATAAGAAAGAATAGAAAACACCAAACGCTGAAGGTCTTCTTAAAATATCACATCAAACAGGACTCAAGTTCTCAACTCTTCAAAAAACCTCTCAAGTTTTCTTCCTCAGATTTAAAATAGAACATGGTCAGACTAGTGACTTTCACTCCATTGTATTTTTAGTCTCTGACAAGGCCTTCTTTTGTACTTCTGTACGAATATGTTATGCAAAAACTATTTTTCTTTGCTTAAAATGAATTCAAAGAAATGGTAAAAACATGTAATGTTACAAAACGTATCGGTAACACTTTATATATAATGCATTATAAAGGTGTTTTTATGCATTAATTATGCCTCCTTATGGATAACTTCAACCACAGTTATAATATCATTAGAAATTATGATGCATTAAAACACACGACAAACAACAGAACAAGGAATCTGTGAATATTATAATGCATGTTAACTTTGGTTTATTTATGAAAAGATAGAATGCATTTTAATGTACATTATGAATACCTTTATAATTCATTATACATAAAGACTTGAAATGATGTGTTACCAAGATTTTTAATTAAGAGAAAGATTGTTCTTTTGAACTTTCTATTCATCAAAGACTCTTTGAAGCATGTCAATCTATAAAGTTCATATTTGCATTTATTTTTCTCATTGACAATCATGTCCAATTATGGGAGTAAAATGTTTTCATGTCGACTTTAATGAGTAAAAGGAGGAAAATAACCAACACTTCAATTAAGGTTTTATTTGGTTCAAAATGCATCCTGTTGGAGATCAGTTAGATGTCAAACTGAGGGATAATTTCTCCTCTGAAAGGAACTGTCAGAAGTATGTTTCTCATTTAAGCTCGTCAATTATACAGGACCTTTTGAACAGAATAATAAGGGAGTTCTCCGTTTCTTTGGCCAGCTTTTAATGTTTAATTATTCTGTCACAAATAATAAATCCGGACATTTTTTAAACAGCATCTGTCTTTTCAAGGAAAGCTGAATTATTCACAGCTGCCAAACGAGCGCCTTAGGCATGAGTCGTCCGTATTAGACTCCCGCGCGCGTGTTTATAGAAAGTTGTCGCCCAACCGTACACTGTGCATCTGAGCAGCGCGGAAGAAAATCTGTTCCCGTTGTTCCCGAGTCCCTCAGTGTTTCAGCGTATGAGGGATCCTGGCAGCGTCGCGAGCGCTACTGCGTTAGAGACTCGATTAGATTTATGTAAACCGCAGCAGACAGCTTCGTGTTTTATGCAGGGCTCGGGTCTTTTTATGCCAATCACAATGTCTTGGATGTATAGTTGCATTGCTCACGCTAATCCCAACCTGCTCCCTGTCAACAGTCCACATTCACACCCCCTTAAACTGGTGGCAGATGTTCCAGAGAGCATGAGCGCGGGAGTCTGGGCCCGAGGACACGTGGCTCTTCGGCACGGGGGTTTGTGTGTGTGTGTGAGTGTGAGGACGTGCCCGCGGGCCAGTGTCGCATCAAACACACCGAATGACTGCAGACACCCACGTGTGTAGCTGTGGATTTAACAAAGCCGTCGCACACACACACACACACACACACACGATCACCCGTTTCCATCTCTGAGCGTCGGCTGTACATGCTTGTTCCACCTTGGCAATCTCCAAACAGAAAACAAACTGCAGGCTAATGCAATTAACATGAAAGCCAGTGTTGGAGACGCGAGCTCTCAACGCATTATCAAAGCGTTTCTATTATGTGTTTCTCATTTTACCTTTTCTTTAGTGTGAAATATAGTCTCAAAGCAAAACTGGTGCGTTCAAGTGTTGTCAGAAAGATGGTATGGTACAAATGTGAATGACAACGCCATGTCTTTATTACGAGTGGGGAAACTGTGGACTTTCTTTAAGACCCAAGTTAAAGAGTTGAGGGAGTATCAGAAAATATGGAGATGCAATAAATGCAAGACAATATTAGCAATGCAATAAATTCAAGATAATATGCCATAAACACAGGAATATATTGGGATGCAGAAAATATGGAGATGCAGTAAATGCAAGAAAATATTAGCAATGCAATAAATTCAAGATGATATGCAATAAACGCAGGAACGTATTGGGATGCGGAAAATATTAGCAATGCAATAAATTCAAGATGATATGCAATAAACGCAGGAACATATTGGGATGCGGAAAATATTAGCAATGCAATAAATTCAAGATGATATGCAATAAACGCAGGAACATATTGGGATGCGGAAAATATTAGCAATGCAATAAATTCAAGATAATATGCAATAAACGCAGGAACGTATTGGGATGCAGAAAATATTAGCAATGCAATAAATTTAAGATAATATGCAATAAACGCAGGAACGTATTGGGATGCAGAAAATATTAGCAATGCAATAAATTTAAGATAATATGTAATAAACGCAGGAATATATTGGGATGCTGAAAATATGGAGATGCAGTAAATGCAAGACAATATTAGCAATGCAATAAATTCAAGATAATATGCAATAAACACAGGAACATATTGGGATGCAGAAAATATGGAGATGCAGTAAATGCAAGACAATATTAGCAATGCAATAAATTCAAGATAATATGTAATAAACGCAGGAATATATTGGGATGCTGAAAATATGGAGATGCAGTAAATGCAAGACAATATTAGCAATGCAATAAATTCAAGATAATATGCAATAAACAGAGGAACATATTGGGATGCAGAAAATATGGAGATGCAATAAATGCAAGAAAATTTTAGTAATGCAATAAATTCAAGATAATATGCAATAAACAGAGGAACATATTGGGATGCAGAAAATATGGAGATGCAGTAAATGCAAGAACATATTAGCAATGCAATAAATTCAAGATAATATGCAATAAACAGAGGAACATATTGGGATGCTGAAAATATGGAGATGCAAGAAAATATTAGCAATGCAATAAATTCAAGATAATATGCAATAAACGCAGGAACATATTGGGATGCTGAAAATATGGAGATGCAGTAAATGCAAGACAATATTAGCAATGCAATAAATTCAAGATAATATGCAATAAACACAGGAACGTATTGGGATGCAGAAAATATTAGCAATGCAATAAATTCAAGATAATATGTAATAAACTCAGGAATATATTGTGATGCTGAAAATATGGAGAATGCAATAAATGCAAGAAAATATGCAATAAACGCAGGAACGTATTGGGATGCAGAAAATATGGAGATGCAATAAATGCAATAAAATATTAGCAATGCAATAAATTCAAGATAATATACAATAAACGCAGGAACGTATTGGGATGCAGAAAATATTAGCAATGCAATAAATTCAAGATAATATGCAATAAACGCAGGAACGTATTGGGATGCAGAAAATATTAGCAATGCAATAAATTCAAGATAATATGTAATAAACTCAGGAATATATTGTGATGCTGAAAATATGGAGAATGCAATAAATGCAAGAAAATATGCAATAAACGCAGGAACGTATTGGGATGCAGAAAATATGGAGATGCAATAAATGCAATAAAATATTAGCAATGCAATAAATTCAAGATAATATGCAATAAACGCAGGAACATATTGGGATGCAGAAAATATGGAGATGCAATAAATGCAAGACAATATGGGAGTGTCAGAAAAAATGAGGAATGCAGTAAATGCAAGACAATATGGAG